TAATTTTATAATTTTTATTATGTTTATAATTTGTGATAATTAGGAACAACGAGAAATAATTATGTATATAAAAAAATGAAAAAAAATTAAAATTTCACAAATGGATTACAAGCGGATTTTTCTATCTCTAATTTACAAACAGATTTTTCTGTATGTAATTACTTACCGACGTGTATATTACAGACGAACTAGAACTATCTGTAAATCTGTCTATAATACTAAAATTTGTCTGTAATAATTAAAAAATTCATCTGTAAATCTGTTTATATTTATAGGTTTTCTAGTAGTGCAACATGTTGAAAGAACTAATAAAAGGTTTGCAAAAATCAAATATGAAATACGGGCCAACTCTTCTAAGATGGGTGCTCAATTGGAGCAAATTACAAACCTTCTTAGTCAAAGAGTGATGGAACATTACCATCTCAGCCCTGAGCCTAATCCAAGGAAGCAATGCAGTGCCATCATCCTCAAAAGTAGGAAGAATCTTGAAGAAACGCAGACCAACAAGGCATGCATGCTTGTGCTCACTGATAAGCATGCCCTTGCTCCCTCCAGCACGCCCATGCTGCCTGATAATGCATGGTTGTGTCGAGGAGCACGCCTATGAACACAATTTCAGCACGGCCGTGCTTAATAACAAGCAAGGTCATACTTCTTCCCCATATATAAAGAAAGAATAAGAAGAGGGCATGCCAGTTGCATTAAAATCAAGGATTCTGTTTCCATAGCGATTGAAGGGCAATAAAAAAGACTCACAATTTAGTAATTTCTTAGATGTTCTCAAGAAACTCCATATCAAGATCCCTTTCATTGATGTCATCTCCTAAATGCCCAAATATGCAAAGTTCTTAAGGAGATGTTGAGCAACAAATGAAAGCTAAAGGAGTTTGAGACTATGAAATTAAATAAAGAATGCTCACCGATTCTGTTAAAGAAGCTACCGCCCAAACTCAAAGACCTAGGGAGTTTTACTATTCCTTGCACCATAGGTAGCTCATAATTTGATAGGGCGCTCTATGATTTAGGCACTAGTATTAATCTAATGCCTTTCTCTATGTTTAAACGGTTGGGTATGCAAGAACCAAAACCTACTTCTATTTCATTGCAGCTTACCGACTGTTCAGTAACCTACCTTAGAGGTATAGTGAAGAACGTTCTAGTTAAGGTAGACAAGTTTATCTTTCCAGCAAATTTTATTATTCTTGATATAGAGGAGGATGATAAGGTGCCTATTATTCTAGGGAGACTGTTTTTGGCAACTGAAAGGGTCATCATAGACGTACAAGAGGGGAAGCTCACATTGAGGCTAGATGATGAGGAAGTTGTATTTCAAGTTTTCAATTCTTTCAAGTGCCCCTCTAGCCAAGAGTCTTGTCACTTTGTGAGCATTGTGAATGTTGCTTTTCCTCCTCCAATTTATGTGAAGCATGAAATTCTAAGAAGAAAGCCAAAGAGGAAGCAATCTAGGAAGAAGAAAAGACAAAAGCTCAAATCATCCTTTAATAAGCCTCCTAATTTAGAGTTTAAATTTTCTTCTCTTTATTTTAATTTCCCTCCTATGAATAATTTTTCTGATATAATAGGTGTTAGGGAGGCAAAGTTGTTGGGGAGATAATTACATATCAAGGGAGACACATCTGAGACTTATCCCTTTTTTCCACCATGATTTAATAGGAACATTAGGCTTATGACATTAAACAAGCGCTCCCAGGAGGCAACCTGTGTCTTTTATTTTATTTTATCTAAATTTTATTTCTTTCTTTTAATTTTGCTATTGTTATTTTATTTTTAGAATAAACATATTAAAAGATTGTAGGAGTTGAGTTGATTGTTCCTACACATACTTTTGAGCTCTGGTCTACAAGCACGCTCGTGCTGATCACATGCACGGTCGTGCATTTAGTCAAAGTTGTGAGAGAAAGCTTTACATTATAAGCATGAGTGTGCTCAAGATTTCAGCATGGCCATGCTTCCTCACCAGAAGCCGTCACATAAAGAATTATCAGGGAACCTCTTTCCTTTTGTTGAATTGTCCTCTTTGCATGCATTTTATTTGATTTTTTTTAAATATTGAGGATAATGTTTTGCTTTAAGTATAGAAGAGTGGTTCCTAATCATATGATTGCTACTGTTTGTTCTTAAGTAAAGTGGCTATGCATTTTTTTTATGATAATTTGAAACTTTTTCCCTCATGGAATCTAATTTTTTCATTGGCATTATATTTTCATTTAGAAACTAATAATTAGCTAAGTTTCCTATATATGAGTTTTGAGTCTTAAGGAGAATTTTTATCTTAGTTTAATTAACTATACCCCTTTCTTTATTGTTTTGTGTGATTATCTCCTTAGAATTTGTACTCTAAAACTTGACTTGTAACCGACTTGAGACTACTCTTTTCTGCATGTTTTTAATATGATTGAGGCATAATAGAATTTTTATTCTTGGCCTTTAACATGTTTGAGATAGAGATACAACTAGTTGTCCACTTTGAGTTTTATTGCTTTTTCTTGGTCCCTAACAGTAAATTTATAAAATATTTCAATGACATTGAGTTTACAAGTGGAGCAACTGAGTTGTTTAATTGTTTGATAAAATCTCCTTTATATCTCTCACGTGCAAAAAGAAGGAAAGTATGAAAAAGAAAATAAAAAAATAGCAAAAAGAATAGAAAAAAAAGGTTATATATGAATGAAAAGAGAGATGAGTAAAGATATTGACTGTATGTAAAATATAAAAATTATTCCAATAGTTTTATTTTTAAACTTAGGGGATGTTTGTAATGTTTATAATTATTACCCATTCGAATATCTCTCCCTTTCATTTACTCATATCAATTATTATAACCCTTTGGCCACATTATAACTTAAAAAAGACTTCATGATTTTTACTTGCATTTAATTTATTTAGTGGAGGGTTTGTTTATAGTTAAGCCTATGGTAGTACACTTTTCTTTGGAGGAACGAAGTTATATCTCATTTTGTTCTTTAGTGAAAGAGGAAAGTTGAGTACCATAGTTTGATGTTTGAGTGAAAAGTATGGGAATATAAGATTCTAATTTAGAATTCTTTTGATTGCTTATGCTCAGTAATATTACTCTTGTCGCTCTTTTTATCTCCTGTATCTCGAGCTCCTTGTTTGGTATTGAGTTTCAAATTATTCTGTTATTCTTTTAACCAGCACTTTGTTTGAGGACAAGCAAAATGATAAGTATGGGAGAGTTGATAAGTCTGTAATTAGGCCATTTTTATAGCCCATATATTCATATTTGACCTGTATTTTATTTGAAATTTACACTATTTTATATATTAATTATGCAGTTTGGTATAAAGAGGCAGCAAGTGAATTTTGGATGTGTTTTTGACTCAAATTGATAAAAGATTAAAGTTTTGCAGTAGTCAGCATGCCTAGACCTTCTTAACAAGCACGTGAGTTTTTCGAGCCCTTGCACAGTCGTGCTTAAGGCTTTGCATGACAGTACTCATTTGCGGAAAGTCCAATTATGAAGAGTTTTTAGGATTTTCAAACCCTATAAAAGAGAGACCTCGGGCATCCAATTATAGACCGTTTTTACATTTTAACTTCTGCTTCTTTGATACACTTTTGATCTCGTCTCTCTTCTACGAGATCTTTGGCATACTCTTGGCAGGACTTGGAGCTTCGAGCGATTATACTTGAAAACTAGAAACTCATCTCACACTCTACTTTGCTATTTCTTTCGATTATAACTTTGTTTATGATTGTTTTAGTTATTCCTTTTAACATGAGTAACTAAGTCCATAGCTAGGGCTATGGGAACTATTATTTATGAATTTGTGAGGTTTTGACGTTTGAATCTAAATTTGATTTCCGTTCTGTGATTAGATTTTATTCTATCGCGCTTCTGTCTTAATTCTAATTAATTATATCGTTAGACGATCGTACCTCAGTTAATCAATAGATCTATAAGATAAAATGACACAAAGGATTTGGTGGATCAAACTAATCTTTGTCTTTCAATCATTATTAAATTAACAAGTTCATAAGTTCTTTAAGCTTTCTTAAATTGATATCTTGCATGACCATTGAGAATGTTAATTTAGAAAAAAGAATGTTAACATTGCATGACCATTGGGTATTAATTGTATTTATATGAATGATTGGTAATCACAAGGAAGTCAGATTTAGAGTTAAACAGAAAAATAACATAAAGGATTGAATGAGAAAACTCATACACCCTAGGTTCCTCTCCTATAAGTTTAATCACAGCATTTGTTGCATTATTCGCTTTTATTTACAATTAATTTTATAATTAAATTTTGGTTCTTACTTAATTTTACATACATTAAATTCAAATAATTAAATTAAAAAATTTTTAGTAATTGAAAAATAATCCTTGTGGAAGATATTTTGAAAACTTAAATTAAGAACCATTTATTACTTCTTGATAATTACACTTGTCCTCCCAACAATAATGCTCATGTTATAAAGCAAAAATCCTATAGCAGCCCTCTCCTATAATTTTCCTCATGGAAAGTGATGCCATTTCACTGAAGTTGAAGATGTGAACATTCTCTAATCTAACTAAAGTTCTTATCACATTGTACAGTTTTTATTATTATCATTATTATTATTATTGCTTTATTTTTATCATCCTAAAGATGCTGCAAGTTGCCATGTTAAGCAAATACTCAACAATATTTAAATAGCAGTATTTTAATCAATAGAATAAAACAGTTACATAGAAAAGAAATCTCCAGCTGGAAGCAATGCATATATGCTCCTTTGTTATGAAAGAGAAAGAAGAAAGTGATGAGAGAAAATAAAGGCAAAAGCTTAACGAGGGTGACAGTGGGAAGTTACAAAACGGCTTTGTTTTTGTATAAAAAGATAACACTTGGCGCGACCTATACTTGAGGGCGAAATATTTGGAGCTTGGAAACCTCACATGCACTATCACTCGTCCCGATATATGGTGGTAGCATCACCTCTTGAACTGTGTTGTTATTCATTGAGCTGAAACAATGGCAAGAACTTCCTCCATTCTTTTAGTTGCTTTTTACTCCATCATACTCACAGGTAATACTATTTCCTCTTCTTCCTTCTCTTTGATTATTTTTCTATTTGTAATAGAACTTTTGATACACTCGGAATGATATCATTCTCTTTCTTGCACCATGTAATTCATTATATGTAATATAGTGTATATAATTAGTGCCGTGATTTTTGTACTTAAGGTTTAAGAAGGAAACGTTTAATAATAGGAATTGTGACTTAACCTTAAATGCTGGATTTAACCATTAGTTGTATGTAAGAATCTCTCTAGTCCATCTAATGCTATAAAATTTCTAAGCATTTTTCTCTTGTTAATTGTTGTAGATGGGGCTCAACTCATTTTAGTGAACAATTGTGGGGAGAGTGTGTGGCCAGGGATACTTGGAAGTGCAGGGCAGCAAACTCCAAAAGATGGGGGGCTCCATCTTGGAAGTGGTGAGGAAATAGTGCTTGATGTGGCAGAGAAGTGGTCAGGGAGAATTTGGGGAAGGCAAGGTTGTAGCTTTGACAATGATGGAAATGGCCACTGTCTCACAGGTGATTGCAATGGGAAACTACATTGTGGAGGGAAAGGAGGGGTGCCACCAGCAACAGTGGTTGAAATGACACTTGGATCCTCCTCTTCACCTCTGCATTTCTATGATGTGAGTTTGGTGGATGGCTTCAACTTGCCTGTTTCTATGAAGCCTGTTGGCGGTGGAATTGGGTGTGGAGTGGCTTCTTGTGAGGTGGATTTGAATGTTTGTTGTCCATCAGCACTTGAGGTGAAGAGGAATGGTAAGGTTGTGGGGTGCAAAAGTGCATGCTTGGCTATGCAATCAGCAAAGTATTGCTGCACAGGGAATTATTCTGACCCAAAAACTTGCAAGCCTACCCTTTTTGCTCATCTCTTTAAGGCTATATGTCCTAAGGCTTATAGTTATGCATATGATGACTCTAGCAGCCTTAACAGATGCAGGGCTCCAAGGTATGTCATCACTTTCTGCCCACCTCCACTGTAGCAGGAATCCAGATGACAAAGTGAAGTTGTTGAAGCTGCTGTTGTAGATTGAAAAGATTATCAGTCACTAGTCATGGATTGTTTTCTTGATATTTTAGTATTTTCTTCTATCTTTAATTGGCTTAGTTTTTGTTATTCTAAAAGAAAGGTAGATTGATAATAAACAGCATTTCACATTTTTGTTCTTACTGTTGATGATGCTGTCATGTATGAACTTTTATTATCTAATTTTCTTGGGAATATTTAGTTGTAGCTCAAAAGCTACACATTTTACTTGTGTTAAAGGGGAAAGCAAATCTTGAAATTATGTGACCAATTACTTGCACCAAAACAAAGTGGAAAGCGAAAATGGGCAGCGTCATTTGCAAGCTACATTAAGCGAAAATTACGGGCAACAATGTACAAATTAAAAATGAAAAAAGAATCTAGGAATGTTGAACCCTCCCATTGTGTATCTTACTAGCAAATTGCAAGCATGACCTTGCTTGGATTCTGTTGCTGCATTTCTTTCCACGAATGTGGGTTAAAGACAGATAGCATTTCAGTTCATAGTCAGCACATGAAAGATTTTGTTCATCAAAGTTGTAGAAGATTTAGTGCAGAAAATAAGAATCCACTATGCTGGATGAAGTACAGCTCTTCATATGCGTTAAAAAAAATATTATATTCACACAAACAAAAATGTTACCCAAATCATTACAACTACAAACTGTAATTGTTTTACAGAAAACCTATGTCCTATTCTCTTATAATATTTTATGGGGAAAAAAAAACAGAGAATCCGAATTTGAAAATCAGTAGGTGTGTTGCACCATGACATTGCAGGGGTCAAGGAGACTAGGAAATCCAAACTAAAAATAAAAAAATAAAGAACGGTAATTTACTTTGAAAAGGGTAATTTAATCTTTTTTAATATCTAAATTATTTCTCATAATTCTATTAGTTTGATTCTATATAATGGAATACATACATCATTCACATTCCTCTCTACATTGTTAATTCTATGATAGGTTTTTTTTTTTTAATAGTATTGGTTAAAAAACTAATAAATAAAATTTGTGTTATGATATATTAGAAATTACGGACATAGGTGCACTTTTATGTTTTCTAATAAAATATTTAGACTTTTTGTTATTTAACCAGTGCCTAATTAACATTTTCCTTTCTTCTTTTCATTTGAGACTCTTAATATTTTGATGTTACTCTGGATCTCGTTTAATTCAAGTGCAACAAAATAGTCCTCACGATTTTATGAGAGTGAAAATCCCTTCAACATTATATCCACTATATTGGATGCAAAACTTTTGGTATGAGTCATGTGGTATCATTACTTTTGCATTTCGGGTAGCCTCATTATATGCAAGGCTTCATGTTATTATCACTTTACTATCCTCCCAATAAGAGATATGTCAAAATGAGGATTCTGTCTTAGATCTGCCAAGAATTTTTATGATAAAATAAGAAAGGAAGGAGGGGAACATCTTCACCATATCATGCATGCTACTATCTTTTTTAAGGATATATTTGGTATGTTCTGTCCTAGGTTGTTCAATGTTGGAAAATAGGAATTATTCTTCACCATGAGACGATTCTCTAAAGAAGAGGATACAGAATAGCATTTCACATTTTTGCTTTAGTGTTAAGGACGTTTTGCCACATAGTTTAATCTATTTTCAATTATTTGGGATATTTGGAAAGCAAATACAACTGAATTTATTATAAGGTAACTGCTACAACACAACACACCCTGCAAGCTGTAGATTTTAGATGGAATCATGAAAGCTTCTGAATGAAGACATTTCAAATAGTGACTTATAACTAGTTAATGCAACTGAAGAACAAAATTTCTGATGATGGGCACACCACCAACCCGTTTTTGTTGAGAATATTAACAGTACCAGATTTTAAAATATGATAGCTCCATTTATTTTGAAGTTACAAAATCAATTCTCCCACTTTTCAATGAATAACATCCGTGTTAAGATTAATTTAGACACAGCCCAATTACATTTAATAGTTTTTTTTTTCTTGCCCAACTTTAAACCAATTAGGCACTTTATAACATAGGTAAAAATGAAGCCTCGGGTGTAAGATTTTAATTTGAGGACCACTATCATATCACTAAGAGACAATAGTATTGCTTTGCCACCTTGTATTAATACAAACATGTTGCAACTAAACTATTTTTCTTTCTTTCTTTGACCTGGCTTTGAACATGTTCCTGCTAACCTAAGCAAATTTATTTCCTTTAGAACCTCCAAAGTCCAAAGGGTAGCTGCAATAGAACCAAACAATATAGTCAAATGGGCTATAAAATAATCTCCATGATTGTGCAGCTAATTGGATTTAACCAAGTAGAGGGATTATTATTTTTTAGGAACATAAACATTCCCTCACTAACCAATAAAAAGGCTTTGCATATACGTAGCTATCCACTTAAACGAAAGTCAAATATCAAAGCTAACAATCTTAAGAAGATCAAAGATGAGTCTCAATGCAGATGATGAGTTAGTGAATCAGATGGAGGAAACACCCACTTTTGCTTCATCTATGCCAGTACCCAATGCTCAAGAAATGGTGAAGAATAATCCTTTGCAGGTGCCTGAAAGATACCTGAGGAGTCAAGAAGAAATGGAGAAAGTCAACTATAAACCTCACCTTTCATCTGAGGTCCTTGTCATAGATCTAGCACTGACTGCTCTCCTATGGAAACAAAGAGGAGTTGCTGAAATTGGACGTAGCATGCAAGGAGTGGGGTTTTTCCAGGTAATTCTTGACCAACAACAGAATTGTGAGTTACATACAAAAATAGACGAGAAAAATATGCACAAAGAAATATTTCACTTGTACAACATGAAACAATAACAATAACAGGTGTAACAAGTTTAAGTAATACATTGACTATTAGAGAAAAAGTATGAAAAAACATTTATGTGCCTTCACCTAAATCTGTAAAGCTTTTGGTATAGTTAGTTCATGACACTGTGTCAAAGCCTTTGTGACCAAGTGGTCTATAGCTTCATACTTGCCAACTTTATTATTCTAATACAAAGTTGAATTTCAGCACCGGCAAGTGAACTTGTGCATTGGCACACTTCAAGCCCAAAAGCTCTTGCATAAGAATGCATGTTAGGAATATAACATAAAACCATTCATGTAACCTAAATGGCTTATGCTTTTGGGATAGAAGGTTCATGATGTTCACATCTTAGTAAAAGTTAGATGTTCACTTGGTTTTCAATTTTCATCAAATGTTTCTAGAGATTGCAATTACTTTTGCAGATAGTAAATCATGGCATACAAAAAGAACTTCTGGAAAAAATGAAGGATACAACAGCTGAGTTTTTCAAACTTCCAATAGAAGAGAAGGAAAAGTATGCGATGTCCGCGAATGACATACAAGGTTATGGGCATGCTTATGTAGTTTCTGAGGAGCAGATACTAGACTGATCAGATGCACTGATTTTAGTGACTCACCCCACCTTGTACAGGAAGCTTCAACTTTGGCCTCAAACAGCAGAGGGATTCAAGTAGGTAATCTTGACAGTTAAAAATTATATACAAAACATGTGTGATCAGTTAATGAAATTTACCTACTAACGCAGGGAGAAAATAGATGCCTGTTCAAGTGAAGTTAAAAGAGTTGGTGAGGAACTACTTAGTTATTTGTCGGTGATTATGGGCATGCAGAAGCATTTTCTTCTTGAACTACATAAATTATCACTTCAAGGCATACGTGTGAAGTATTACCCTCCTTGCAGCACACCTGAGCAAGTATTGGGTTTGAATTCACACTCTGATTCAAACACCATCACCTTGCTTATGCAAGAAGGTGATGTATCAGGGCTAGAAATTCGACACAAAGGGGCATGGGTACGAGTAGCCCCAAAATCTGATGCTATACTTGTCAATGTTGGAGATGTAATAAAGGTACTTGTATTATCACTTTAGTGAACACAAGGAAAACACTTGTAATTGGAAGGCTATAGAGTATTTGGTATTTATTTTTAATCTATTTCAATTACTTGGGATTGGGAACGGTTGGCTGCTCGCTTTGTACATTCTATATGAGAATTTGGAAAGCAAATCCAAATGCATTTATCATAAGCTAACTGCTACGCAACACAAACTTCAAACTGTAGATTATAGATGGAATCATGGAAGCTTCTAAAAACATTTCAAAGAGGTCATAACTAGTTAGTGCAACTGAAGAAGTTTTTACCCTTTTTTTAACAAAATAGTGGGCACATCTTTAAACTGTTTTTGCTGAGAATATTAATGATACCGGATTTTAAACGATGACTTTTGTTTTGTGTTGCACTGGTACTTCAAAAATCATCAAATATGCCTTCTGTATTTACTGGGTACTGCACTTGCTTGTGGATTTTGAGCATTTGTCGATGATGTTATCTCCTAAAGATGATCACATTAGGTTCTTCTTTAGATGGTTTAAGTAAACATTTTAATCTTACTTGTTTTAAAAATTTACAATTTTTTTTACTTAGGATAAATTATTTATAAAAATTATATTATTTAATTATTATGCGATATGTTTAATATTTTATAGATTTTTTAGAATTTTTTATTTTTATAAAATGTTTATTCGACTAAAATTTGTTCTAAATTATCTATCATTATTTTATATAATATATATAAATAGAATTATATTTTTTTCTCATTCTATTTAATTTGAATCCAATCCGAATCGTGCAACTAGATATGGTTGCCGAAAAATAATATAAACATATTGCAAATATAATATTTTTCTTGAAAAATAATAATATCGTTCCCTTGAATTAATGTGTTGCCACTAATTAAACTATATTTTCGTTTCTCTCTCTGACGTGACTTTGTACAAGGTTCCTGCTTACATAAGCAAAGTTATTTCCTTTGGATCCTCCGAAGCATAGCTCCAATAGATCCAAAACAAAGGCAAATGGACTCTAAAATAATCTCCATGATTGTGCATCTAATTGGATTGACCAATTAAAGGGAATTATTAATTTTGGAAGGATCAAGTTTTCAAGATTCATCCACTAAACAATAATAAGTCTTTGCATATACGTAGCTATCCACTTAAAACAAAAGTCAAATATCAAAGCTAACAATCATAAGAAGATCAAAGATGAGTACCCTCAATGCAGATGATGAGTTGGTGAATGAGATGGAAGAAGCACCCAGTCTTGCTCCGTCTATACCAGTACCAAATGTTCAAGAAAATGTAAAGAATAACCCTTTGCAGGTTCCTCAAAGATACCTGAGGAGTCAAGAAGAAATGGAGAAAGTCAACTATAAGCCTCACCTTTCATCTGAGATCCCTGTCATTGATTTAGCATTGCTCTCCTATGGGAACAAAGAGGAGTTGCTGAAAATGGACATAGCATGCAAGGAGTGGGGTTTCTTTCAGGTAATTCTTGACCAACATAATTGTGAATTACATACAACGAAACTGTACACTTCTACAACAACATAAAAAATTAGCAATAACAGGTGCAACTAGTTTACAATAAATAATACATTCACTGTGTGAGAAATAATATGAAAAACCATTTATGTGCCTTCACTTAAATATCTTAGGCTTTAGTATTGGTATGGTTAGTTCATGACATGGTATCAGAGTCGTTGTGATCAAGTGGTCCAGAGCTTGATACTTGCCACCGTTATTCTTCTAATTAAAGGTTGAATTTCAGCACAGGCCAGTGAACTTGTGCACTGACACACTTCAAGCCAAAACTCTTGCTTGAGAGTGCATGTTAAGGGATATAAAACTATTAAGGATTAATCTATCTTCACCTAAAGGCTTATGCTTTTGGAACAGAATTAAGGTTAACGGGGTTGACATATCTTTGCAAAAAGTTAGATGTTTGCTTGGTTTTCATCAAATGCTGCTTGAGATTGCATTTACTTTTGCAGATAGTAAATCATGGCATCCAAAAGGAAATTATGCGGAGAATAAAGGATGCAGCAGCTGAGTTTTCGAACTTCCAATAGAAGAGAAGGAAAAGCATGCTATGCCTTCAAATGACATACAAGGTTAATGGGCATACCTATGTCGTTTCTGAGGAGCAGACACTTGGTTGGTGATAGATTGATGTTAGTCACTTGCCCCACTTGGTACAGGAAGCTTCATCTTTGGCCTAAAACACCAAAGGGATTCAAGTAGATAATTTTAACAAATAAAAAGTATTCTCTTCTTCTATTTATTAAAAAAATTACTAATAACTTTTTATCTTAATTATAAGAAAAAATTATTTTTAGATATATTAATTGTTAAAACTTTTTTATACCCTTGTTTATTGTGAAATTTATATTAACAAAGTACTTACTCGTTACCTATATAAATAAATATATTAATTAATATTATATAAGACACTAATTTGACAATTTAATATATTATAGGAATTTCTAAAAAATAGAATAAATTTATAGCATATAACAACTTTTTTTTATTTGATAAATTAAATATTTATTTCTCATAATTGTTTCTTGGAAATAGTACCAAATTAGTCAATGAATTCTTCTCCTAATGCAGGGAGATAATAGAGGCATATTCAAGGGAAGTTAAAAGAGTAGGTGAGGAACTGCTTAGTTCTTTGTCAGTGATTATGGGCATGCAGAAGCATGATTTTCTTGGACTACATAAAGAATCAGAATCACTTCAAGCTACATGTTTGAACTATTACCCTCCTTGCAACATACCTGAGCAAGTACTAGGTTTGAGTCCACACTCTGACACAAGTACCATCACCTTGCTTCTGCAAGATGATGATGTACAAGGGCTAGAAATTCGACACAAAGGAGGATGGGTACCAGTGAGCCCAAAATCAGATGCTATAGTCATCAATGTTGGAGATGTAATTAATGGAGGTACTTGAATTATCATTTTAGTGAAAACATAAAGAGAGCACTTGTAATAGGGAAGGCTTTAAAGTCATTTAATTAACCAACTTTAATTAAGTTTCTTTGTTTGCATCTTGCAATCATGACAGATATTGAGTAATGGGAAATACAAGAGTGTAGAGCACAGAGCAGTGACAAATAAGGATAGGAGAAGGAGTTCCTATGTATATTTTATGGCCCCAGGGGATGATGTGGAAGTTGAGCCCCTTGATCATATGATAGATGCTCAGAACCCTAAGTTGTACCAGAAAGTAAGGTATGGAGATTATTTGAGGCAATCTATGAAGAGGAAAATGGAGGGAAAAGCACACACAGATGTGGCAAGGATAAGGGTCTAGTAAGGAATAAAATGTTTAAAGCACTTCCTCATGCTGATTTCCATGAAGTTTGGTTTTTGACTGAGGACCAGGGTTATGCAGCATATATCATTGTTATAATCAGTGTAAAAAATAATTTTTTTTTATAAGTTAGAAATAATTTATACTTCTTTGTATTTTTTTAGAAGTTATCTTATTTAACTTCTCTAAAATTTAAGAAAGTAAATTTATTTTTAACTTATAAAAAATTTATTTATTTTTTACATTAATTTATTTATTCATAAGAATTTTTTTATAAGTTTAATGAAACTGCATGTGTGAAATAAATAATAGAATAAGGATTTTTATTATTGTTGATGTTATGTGAAATAGTTAAATGCGCTGGTGTGATAGATTAATGCTTAATAAATATTATACATATACATCATATTGAGTCTAGATAATGCAAGTTCCTTCATTGATGTTCAGATTTCATTCTCAACCCACTAAGGAATAGCAGTTATTCTCAGGGTTTTTGTGAGAATGGTAATTCTTTCCTTTGTGAAGTAAACCCAAACCAACATAATCATCGATTGCAGAGTTGTCTTCCCACTCACTTCAATTAAGGTTAAAATAGCTATGCAATGCATTAAGTAGCTATTATAACTAGCTAACTATCATGAAAAGATAATCAATCTTACATATAAACATGTCTAGCCTTTTCTCTAACTCACATTTAACATATTAATACTATTATTAGTTATTCCATAGGTTCTACTGAAAAGAAATTTTTAACAAAATATCTCCAGAATTTTCGTTAAAATATTGAACATGAATAATTTTTTTTTTAAATATCATATATCTTTTATTGAAAATAATATTTTTAAACACACTAATTGTTAACGCTTCATTTATTACGATTTTGAAGACAAGTGTGGAAACGTGAATACTCCAATTTTTGGTGTCTAATTCTTGGTGGTACCTCCACTCTGTGAGCTTCCACCAATTTGTCAGGAGAAGTCTGGGTTGCGGTGGACCACAATAGACAACAGCTCTGAAGTAAATTCAAGCAATTTCAGAATATTATTATATTTTCAAACTTTTTTTCCGTCGTGCGTTGAAATATATTTGATAAAAATAAAAATTATATTTTTTATTAAAAATTATAATATTTAATGTATTGAAAATTTATTTTCACATAAATGGTAACTAACCCTCACTTCTTTATATTACTATAAACACTCTCTTAATTACTTTACAAGAATTAAAAGCTATAACTTTATTAATAATATTAAATTAAATTTATCAATAATTTAAATACTTTTTCAAAACTATTCGTGAAATTATTAAAACACACTATCTTTATTTTTATGTAATTAATTGCTTTTCCTCCCAATTGTTTCTGTAAAATGAATAATACAAAACAATAGTTCTTATATAAAATAGCATGGCAAATTCTCCAAAGATATCGTATTTAGGATGACAGGTAAGATAATTTTGAAGGCCAAAGGGGCACACTAACAAAAACAACACCAATAAAAATAATAAAAAACTTTAATATTTTTTTAACACACTTTTTATTATTTGTTAAAAGTTATTTAAACTTATAAAAATTATATAAATTTTATTTTTTTATTTTTAAATTAATGTTTCTCTTTTATATTTTTTATTTTTAATAAATTTTAATTAATAATAAAAAGTATATCAGAGAGAATGTGTTGCTAGCTTTTCCCATATTTACATATACTAAAACCAAAATTTTCCTCTCAAACTAATTTATTAAAACATTCTAATTGGTCTTTGGAAACACAATTAGTACCTGGAGTCTCTATAAGGAGCTACAATTAGCCAGTGTTTCACATCCAATAAAGTGAAACTTTCCTACCAGAGATAGACTAATTTCCTTACCACAAGCAAGCAATACAAGCAACAACAACAAAGACTAACAAAAACATAAAAAAAGACAAGAATGTTTATGTTTCAGGTATGAGCTGTGTCTGAAATTACAGTCTCTTCTTCTATAGAAGAGATGGGAAGTTTGCTCCCTGAACTCATTTTGTGCACATCCTGGCTGGAACAAATGAAGATTCTTCTCACCATGTTACAGAATTCACTGCAAGAACATAACAATATCAATCAACATTTATCGTATATATTTATATTAATGGTGAGAGGTGGTTACATGAATAATAATTGAGTATTATAAAGCAGGAAGTTTAATAATGATTGGCGATATTATCTATTCTATTAACAAATGAAAGTAGGTATTATCCACTTTTCCAATCCCCGACAGCCACAAAATTATTCTTATTGAATTTGACTGTAGAATGCATGCCAAATTAAACAAACAAAACCTGTACGATCACAGACATAAATATTATAAAATGATGTTATTTAATCATCATATTCCACTTTCTCTCCTCACTTTCCTCATTATGCTTCCCCCATTTCCCTTTTTCCTTAATGTGCAACATGCGTGCCAAATAAACCTACAAAAACTTGTTAAATTATATTAAGATTTACAATTTTTAATAAATTTTAACTATAAATATATTAAAGAGTGAGTTCATAACAATTTTCTATAATTTAATGGTCATAGTCCATTTTCTCTCTCCACTTTTACTCGTTAATCGTTTCCCACATCTCTAGAACGTTTTTCACCTTTATCCTCTTTCCTTTTTATCAAGGGTGTATGTTCACTATAAAATTCTAGTGTATGTTTCTCGACAACTTATAATACCCCGTCAACATTTTTTATCTATAATTCCCTTATTGTTCATTTTATTCACTTGCTCTCTCAACAGTGAGATGTTTAACTGTGTATAAAGAGATACTCACGGCCATGGATCATCGCCAACAAGCATCATATCCCCTTCATCATCAGTGAAGACAATTTCCCATTTATCCCTTGATTGAAGCTGTCCATTTATGTCGAACATCTTCTCCAATTCATCTACAAGTTGATCATACCCATTTAACGTGGTCAAATCCACAGCACGCCCCACTGCAACCCCTTGCATTCGAACCTTTTGGCATGTATTGAACACAAAACAAAAAAGGATTGCTTCAGAAACTTTTCATACTAAGCTATAAAACCTTTAACTTAATTATCTAATCAATAAACAATACATGTCAAACAAGAACCTTAGTACAACTTCTGCTACCGATTTGCTTGATTTGAGTCTCTTTTGGAGATACTTGTGGCTGTTCTTTTTTCCATTCTTTAGAAGCCATTGAGATATCACACTTAAGTCTTACATCAGTTCTGGACTCAGATGTGACTCCACATGCATTTGTTGCATCCACGAGAGTCTTCTCTACAGAAGGAGAGTTGTTTCTGGCATGATCAATAAGCTCAATCCCAAACAATCTACAGCTTGTAGCAGCCTCTAGTTTGGTGATATCCTTTTCAAACTTGTCATGCAAATGGTCACTATTCAATCTCTCTGAGTGAGTTTTTGAAATAGGCCAAGCTGCGACACTCTTGTTATCATCGGTTGTGTCATGATAGAAGTGAGAAGGAGCACAAGAACGAGAAGATAGCCAACTTGCTTCTGTCTGATTCATTGATATACCATTGCTGCTGATTTTACTATTATCATTCTGCTTGTGATGCCACATGTGGATGCTATTGTCACTCCTTTTGCTCTCAGCCATGACACTAAGTTTTGTCATCTCAGAATGTGTCATCCCAGAATTCCAAAAAGTAGAGGCAGCTAATGGTGTGTCTACTTTGAAAGTGAAAAAAGCAAGTGTCAAGATCGATATAAATCAATACAAGAATTTGGGAGTAAAACATCAATTTGGGCCCTGAAATTGGCACAACTAGAGAATTTGATAGTTGACAATGTGAAGATAAAACAGTTTAGTTAGTCTTTGAATTTGGCATCACCAATAAATTCATTCCTTAATGTTATGAAAAAGCAAATTTAATACTTTAGTAACAGTCGGTCAATTTAGTCTGACATTGGTATGTATTAGGGACCAAATTGCCTCATGGACATGGTTGTTAAAAGTCAAGGATTAAATTTGTTTTTCATATATTAGGGACCACATAGTGCCAATGTCACGGACTAAATCAACAGTTATCAAAGTTAGGAACGAAATTTCATTTTTGTCATTAAGAATCAAATTGACTAGTGGTACTAATTTCAAGGATATAATTAATGTTTTACAAAAAAAAATAGGAGTTAAAAGAGATAATTCTTCACCAAGATCTGGAAATTCACTTGCTGGTCGAGGCCTTTTATTCTTTACAACCGAATGTTGAGATAATGACGTGGGAACAGAAGCAATAAGGGGTTCTATCTCCCATGGTGAAACTCTATCAGGTCTTGGAATAGATGCAGCTTCATCCCATTGAACCTGGGATTAGATGACAAGAATAGATGAATACCATATAACCACAAGCAATAATTAAGGTGGAATATTACAAAGTCAATGATGAAATTACCTTAAGTGAACGCCATGTTGAATTTTCCCAATGAGGAGAAATATCTTCTACTCCAACTATTGTGCCACAAAATCTGATCAACCATATATTAAGATACATTTAAATACACGGCTTATTTAAGCGCTTATTCAATATATTTTAAAAATAATGGCTTACGTGACACGTATTTAAATATGAAATTTATTAGAATAAATTAAAAATAACTTATTTTAATAAGTTATTCAAGAAACTTACTGAAATAAGTTGAAAAAAAGCTTATGAGAATAAAAAATAGCTCCCATAAGTTGTAAGCTCTTTCATTCAAAGAGGCCCTCAGAATATCTAATAAAAAAGTCACATTACAAACTAAAGAAATAAATTTTGGTACCTTTTGTCAGTCTCAGGGGAATCATCCCCTTCAAACCTCATCCTGAATCTCATACCAACATTACATTTTTGGTTGATAGCCTCCAAATATTTGTTCACACTCACAATGAATTGGCTGGTCCTAAGCAAACAAATCATCCATTGATTACTCAATAATAGTAACATTAAAGCTTGTAGTTATTTTTGCAACAAGTGAAAGTTCTACCTTGGCTTATAATATACAACGAAAAGAGTCTGAGTTGCAACTGCATGAGATGCAGTTGCAAGAACTCCAATGTGCATGCTCTGACTGGAAATCACAGAAGAAGGCATGCTGTTCTGCAGAGGAGCAACACGCCTCACTCCAACACGCAATTGTCCATTGTTCCCTCTACATACAAAATCGTATTAATTTAACTGAGGCTTGCACAGTCAAACAAATAATTATTATATGATTTAATACTAGAAGATTTTTTGTGACGCATATGAAGGAAAACCAAGAAAGAGGAAAGGTTTAGTTTCACTTTTAATACTTCTAATTTATGCTCTATGCAATTTAATACTTCTAATTTTGATCACTAAAGAAAAGTCTTTTTATTTTAAAATTAAGAAAGTTAATCCTTCAATTAATTTTTTTAATTAAAATCCTTAAATTATTACTTTCTATGTAAATAATTGAGGGTTGGAGTTGGAATATGAAATAATTTTGAAAGTTTAAAAAGAAAAAAATAGTAAAAACTTGATAATAGTCAAAGAATTTTATAAGATTTGATAATAGAATTTGAACAAGACAATCTTTTTTTATTTTAGATGAAATTTAATATTTTGATCAATGATTTTAAAATTTAATTAATTTAATTTATAAATATTTAGAACAGAAAATAAAAAATTTAAAATTTTATGCACAAGAAAATTGTCAAAAAATTAATTTACTAACTTTTAGAAATAGATAAACTAAGTCACACATATTTTAAATTAGAGGGTTAATTAACTAAAAAACTAAAATTGCACACTCCAATTTTAAAAAATAAAGAATGTAATTAAGTCAAAACTAAAACATCAAATGCGTACCTCAGGAACACAAAGGTATCTCCAGCAACTAATCTCTTAGAAGTCACAAAAGTACTCCATCCAGTTGTGAGCAAGTGTCTACGTGGCTGACCTGGATAGAAAAAGGAAAATACATTCAAAGTTAAAATAAAAATATTAGGCCAATGTTAAATCATAAGGACCCAAATGAAAATTTCTTATGCCCTTTACCTCTAAATATATGCTTAAAGCGCCATTCATAACCATGAAGATCCTTGGCAACCAATTCCTGAGTTGGGGTTGATTGGGATTGGGATGTGTCCTTAACAGAATCCAAACATGGTTATTTAGTAAACATCAATAAGACAATCTGGGTCTGGTTTTGGAAACCAAAAACAAATTCAATAAAAACCAAATTAGTGTTGTATTTTGATTACCAGCATTGGAAGGCATTCTGTGGCATGCTTCCTGAGGACAGAGAAGCCACCATGGGTGCTTGTATCAGAGGCTGTTAAGACCTTGCAGAAGGAGTTAACTCTTGGCCTTGGATGTTCAGCAGGGCACGGATCAGGGCTTGTAGGTTCAGTTTTCTGAGACATTTCTTCCATTAGAAATCTAAACATTAAGAATCTAAGGTTGACAATGAAAATGTTTTGAGAATCATAAGGAGCAGTTACATCCTTACATTTGATTCCGGCACTAGAGTAATCTGTGCATAAACTTCATCTGTTTCTTGCTCAGCCTAAAACATGTCGAAATTCGAGGCAAGTTTTAGTTTTTCGCCCACCCCATTTTGCACAATCATATAATATTATGTTATATTATTAATAAATAAATAAAGTGTGTACATAGCAACACTGAAGCCCAGATAGTCGTTTCACCATTTTCTCAGCAACCAAACATGTTTTTTTCTTCTGTTTATTTAAGAAAAAATCAGAAAATTCGAAAGGAAGGGGGATCAATGATCAAAGGAGAGTACTACCACTAATTAATAAAAACTTAATACCAAACTCTACATGGTAACTCCAAAACCAAGATGATTATATGACAATTTTTTCAACATCCAAACAAGACTCTTTTTTTTTTCTTTTTTCCTAAAGAAAAAAAAAGGAGGAAGAAAATGAAAGAAAGTAAGATCACGGAGAAAATTACCAGTAAATGGACGTTGACGACACGACAGAGGATCTTGGAGGGAAGTTTGAACAGTGGAATCCTCTGATTTAGTTCCTGATTTGTTGATACTTCTAACTAGAGCCGCAAATACATATAAAGTAAAAAGCACTTAAAACAAAATTAGTAAAGAAAATCCAACTTGACCAAATTCATTCCAAGACCAACATTTTCAGACACCAACCTAGGAGCCCAAATAAAAAGAACAACGAATTTGATTGCAACTATAAAAAACGAAAACTAACTTGTTCCATGTGTCCCTGAGGGAAATAGAAGACCCTTTGGCCTGCACGAGGAACTTCCACATGAGGTCCTGCACATGCCTTCCATAGTTGCTCATAGAGCTCATCTTCTTCGCCGCCACCACCACCACCTTGGTTCAACGACATCGTTAAAACAAACCAAAAGCTGTTGTGTTCAGTTCAGAGTTCAGAGCTTATGACCAATCTAAAATCCGTGACATCATCATTGTTATTATTATTATAACATAAGGGTACGCAAAAGAATAGGAGTAATCATCATAATCATCGTGCCATGGTGTCACAGATGATAACCCAATTGAATGATTATGCGTTGACAGAGAATTTATGAGAGAAGGCAGCTTTTGGAATCGTGTCTGCTATGCTACCTCCTGCAAACGTTACAGAACTCTCTCTCTTTCTCTTTCTTTGTGTAAGGAAACGGCGTTCCTTGAAATCACGATGCAAACAACTCCGTTGGTCGCGATGTCCATTTTATAACAACACTATATGTGTTGTTTCCAAAACAGTTAAAAATCAATTCTCGCATTTTTTTAATATATAATATTTTATATATCTCAATTATATTTAGTAATTCAAAATTAATTTTATCAAAATCAATTTTAGTTGAACTTTAAATTGAAGGAGCACTATATTTCTTTTATTTTTCATTTTTTTTTGCAATTTTTTAATGTGACACATAATAAGAAATTAATAAATAGTAAATTTTTATTAAAATTTATAATAGTTAATGTCATTAATCCATTAAATATTTTAAAATTTTGAATAAAAAATATTCTGTGTAAGCAAATAGTAACTAATACCTTAAAAGTAGTAATTTAGAATTTTTATTGGTGTATGGAGCCTGTGCTATGTGCGTAGCCTCTTGTGTCCTCTATTGTGTGTTTTAAATTACAATTGTGGTTACAGTTGTAGAAATCTTTAAAATCTTAATATTATGGATAGTTTCAGCTGATGAGGCTATAATTACAATTGAATACGATTATAAAAGCCTCTCAAACACTGATGTTGTGACCACACCAACAGTTACGAACCGCAATATAAAATTTTGTTTGCACCAGACACTATCTCTATTTTATTAACAAGTGTAATGTGACGTAATGCAATTATTATTATCATGTAGTATTGTAGTCTTGTAATTTTTTTTGTTGGTTTGATTATTTAATTTTTAATTTTTCAACATCTCATAATTTACCCTTTTTGTTAATTTATTCTAATATTGTTAATAATTTTGCTAATTTGCATTAATATTTGACTGAATGTATTATTTTGTTTTAGTCTTTTCAATTTTAAAATTTTCAATAAATCATTATCTATTTATATTTTTCTTTTTTATTTCTTTTTTTGTTTACAACAATGAGTTAAGGGGGAGGGGGGGTGTTGTTCCATATTTGGGGTGATCCAATGACACCCGTTGAAATTGCGCTTCATTATTTTAATAAAATAAAAGAGCACCTGTTCAATATTGTCTCTTTCTAAATTTGTGTTTTTATTTTTTATTTTTTCCTTCTTATATTGCATTCATGGAATATCCAGTGAAAAATGAAGCATTAAGGATCATAAGTATCCATTAATTTATGCCACAAACATGATCATAGACATAGTAGACAATGTCTCTACACTTTTCGGTTTAACTAATTTCATTAACTTAGACTGTTGTTTTGGCAAAGGTCTGCCTAAAAAAATCATTTTCCTTAGTATATACGTAAAAATACTAATAAATCAAAAGTGATAAAATGACAACCGCTGGAATTGTCATTATAGTAGGTTGTATAAATATTACACAAACATATGCAAGCTAGCAATTAATAAGGTGTTATAATTACACGTCATAGCATCTTTTTCCAATTTTCACTTTATAAAGAGATATTGACATAAAAATTTTGAGCAAATTACATCAAGTTTAAAAGCTTAAATTTTGAATGTCTAGTGTATTTAGTTTACATGAATATTTCAAAAATAAAATATGAAAATATAAATAAAACTATAGCTAAGATTTTTTTAAAGAGTTTTTTTTTTTAAAGAAAGAGAATAATTACGTGTCAATTTCCTTGACTTAGGTCAAACTCAAAATTATGGTCAAACTTGTAAGACTATCATCATAGGTAAGACACCCCACATCTGTAGCCTCTTGTATATCTTGGATGAGGTACAAGTCTCAAGTAACCTAATTGTTGCATAATATAATCATACAACCACGTTTTGATACTTCTTACACATGACAACCTTGTTTTAGTATGTTATGCATGATCAAACAACAACAAAAACAATCCATGACAGGTATAGTAAATAACAAAACCATTCTTGCCCACATATAAGAGAGAAATGTTTCTAAGACAGGTATGATATATTAATCCTAATTCATCTAGTTAACCTAATATACTTTTTTAACTTGGACGTTATAGTGTTTCTTGTAGGAACAACTCTCATTCGAACTTATGAGAATCATCAAACCACCCTTAACTGCTATAGAAGATAGTCTAACTATAATAATTATCCATTCTAATATCCTTATATAGAACAATGCTTATATATTTGTTATGACATCATAGCTTATAATCTATCTATAGAAAAAAAAAAAAAAAAGAGTCTTAATTATACTACACATGATGATAAAGAGAAGAATGCACCTATAAATTTGGATCTATGTAATTCCTAAATTTGACATGAGTACATTTTAAGAAGTTGTAATAATTGATTCTCTACTAGACATAGCAAATCAACATGCTTTTTTTTTAGGACATGCTCTTACTCAAGTTTTACAAGAAAAATCTATTTTTACATGGGTTGGATTCATGTTTTCTTCAATTAATAAAATTGAGGTAAAGGTTGAGTTTAAGGGTTCTAATATTTGCCTCATCCCTTTCTTTGAACGTGCCGCATTAGTATAAAAATGCAAAGGCATTGTTAATGTGTGTGTATTTAAGTTAAAGTTAGGGTTTTATTTTATTTTTCTTTTTTGCCACTAGTCTTTAAGCTTTATTTTTCCATCTTCCTTAATTTGGCAACTGTTGATTTGTACAGGCAACATGAAAACTTAAAACCTAAAGAGGATAAGATTATATTTGTATTATTTTTTATTTTTTTTTGTCCTTATTAAGAATGAGAATAAGGTGATAAATAGGAGTATGACTGAGGAGGAAGAATTTTAGACATTCACTCCACCGTGTTGTCATCAATATTCTTAATCCAAGCGAGTACATTTGCCAATCATAGAGAGAAGTACACTAATATCTTATTATCTATTACAACACTTTAAATAATGACAAAAAAAAGTTTATGCTTTTGTTTACAATGATAAATTAGTGAAGTTTAATAGATTAATTCACTTTTTCATGAATCTTATGTTTATCATCATTTGGTGCTTTAGTTCAATTCATGTGGCATAGAAACAATGCTTTTAGAACAAGAAACAAATGAAATGTATGAACACTATAACATTAGTAGTGGAAGAGATAAGAAATAAACAAGAATAAATCATCCTTTTTATCATTATTGGTGTTGTCAATACAATCATGACTATAAAAACAAACAGACACACAAAAAAAGAAATTGTATAAATGAAATCAACATCAAAGAAGTTGTGCACCAAAATCATCTCAAGGACTTAAAATTCCTAAGTGACAAGTTCAAACATTTCATACATTAGATCTAAAACTCATCTCAAGGAGTTCACATGTCAACTAATACACTTTATTAAGATGAAGGTTATTAGATGATTGTTAGGATTAAAAAGTCCATTTTCATAAATTGAAGGTACTCACTATCAAGACTTCTAAAGATATACAATACTTTTATAATTGATCATGTGACTACTAATTAACTTTTAATCTTAATCATCTTTGAATAATTACTTAGTCAAGATTTTTATTCTCACATTATTAAAATAAAAACTATTCTTGTTATATAATTCGTCTTTGTTATTTTACGATGATTGTAACACCCTCAATTTTGTGGCCCTTGTATGGAAAAATAGAAGTTTTGATGCAAAATATTTTGCTGTAGTGAGACAGAGCGTCCAGAATCAGGCTCTCTGACGATTTATCGCTATAAAGAGGATGCTCTATTTACAGTGAGAGACAACAAAGAAAAATTTTGTCTGATTTTTCACTGCAGCGAGAGAAGAGATTGTTGTAGTGAGAGATGATTCACTGTAGCGAGAATATCGCAAATTAAGGGTATTTAAAGGTCTTCAACCTAGAAAATTGAATCACAATCTAAAAATCTTGACCTCTCCTCTGTTCTCTCTGATTTCTCACCCTACCTTCTCAAAAATTCTACTCTAAACCTTAATCTTCCTTCAAATCTGGGCTTAGGAGCTTAATCGTTCACATCCAAGTAAATTTCTTGGAGCTTGATTCTCCAACTTCATTCTTATTTCTCTATTTTATCCGATCTAAAATTTTGTACTTTGTGATACTTAAGGAAACCTTAACCCTTAAGATAATATTCTCTACCGGGACGTTGTGTCTCTCTCTCAGATTTCTAGAAAAACCAAATCTAAAAGACCAATTTTCAGATAAGGGGAGTGATCTTAAACCTTAACTTCTCTTTAGTATTTTGATTTAAAAACACTAAGTTTTCTACTAGAACCCTAATATTTTCTTAAAATCTAATGTGTAGGAATAGAGAGTTTGACATGAAAATTCCATGCTTATTTTCAAAACCAACCAAATACAAATTGTAATAAAAGCTCTGAACAAAACTATTTCAAGAAATATTATGATTTTACTAGTAAACCTTCTTCAGAGGTAACTTAAGATTTACACATTTGATATTTTTAAAATAATAGATATATTGTAAATATTGGATGTTGCCAAACTTTTAGGATAGATAACTGTATTGATACTGAGCAAACGTGCGTATGTTAGATTGTACGGTTGGACTGAGTCCAAAGGTGTCTAACTTTTGGCACATTATATTGGCTTATGTGGTGTGAAATTGTTTGATGATATTTTCCTGTTAAATGATATAATGAATACATATGTTATTTGATAGTTAAAGTATGTCAAAATGGGTAAAACTATGTTATTGATGAAAAGTGTTTGACTGTTCATAAATGAAAAAAGAGCTTTGTGTATGAAATAAAATGATATAACATGATGGTGGAAATATAAGAAATGTAATTATAATACGTGAGTCAGAATAGATTGATAGATGAAATTATGATACATGTATTGTGGTACATCAAATGGTGTACTCATAATACATGTATTGTAATACATTAAGTTATACGATCAAGACTCACGTAATATGTCACGTTGATCTATGTGAAGGATATGAAAAAGAATAAGAATAGTTGAGAAATGTCGAGAAAAGAGAATAATATGAGAAATGGTGAGAATAAATATAGATAGTTATAGAGATACATTGTGGTATAGAGTCCAAAAGAGATTTGGAAAATCTTTGAAAAATGAGGGTAATGAATGTTAATTATAAATGGGTGCACAACGATTGCTGAA